CCGTGTGCCAGCCAGGGGCCAGAAGCCCCAATTGTAGTGGGTGGGGGTCCCATATGTGGGACATTTAGCTGGTGGGGCCTCTGTGGTCCTCAGATACCCACACCTTCCCTTATTTATTTATTTTTTTTTAGTTTTTGCTATAGGGTGCATGTGCTCCCAGGAGAGAGATACAGAGAGAGAGAGAGATGGAGAGAAGAAAAGTGAGAATAGGGGGCTGGCCACACCATAACCCCTTCTCCTCTGTTCTCCTCTTGGGATTTGGGGCGTGTGCGCACACACACCTGGTGTTTTTCAATCCACCAGGGTCCGGGACTAGAACTTTGCAATCGGCTATGTGGGATCCAGCGCCTTAACCTCCATGCCACCAGCGGGCCCCCACGCCCCCTCCCTTCTTCTTTTTTTTTTTTTTTGAGAGGTTTTCGCTATAGGGCACGTGTGCTTGCCAGACAGAGACAGAGAAACAGAAAGCGAGAAATCACCACCCAAGGGGGATGGCCACGCCGCAATCCCTTCTCCTCTATTCTCCTCTCGGGATCTTGGGCACGCACGCACACGCGCCCAGCGTGAGTTTTAAGCCACCGCGTCCAGGACGCAAACCATGGTCGACTCCGTGGGAGTCCAGCAACATAGCCATTACGCTAACTGCTGGTTCCCTGCACCTTCTCTTCTTAAAGACACAATGCAACACTTGCGAGCACCTCTCAGAAACAACCCAACACACACACACACACACACACACACACACACTCTGAAATACAGCTCAACACATTTGCATACTTCATCATTAAAAATCAGTACCACGCACATTTTCCTCTTAGAAATACACACACACACACTTTCTCCTCTTAAAAACACATCTCAATACACGCATCCATGTTTTCCTTTCAGAGACGTGACCTAACGCAACGTACCAGCTCGGTCACACACATCCCTCACTCCGACGCGGCTCGTGCACGCTGCCTTCTTGGAGATGCAAGTGAGCACAGAGACGCACTCTCGTCTCCACCTCCCACCTCTGAAAGCACGAGGGGATCTCACAGAGCTCATGGAGCAGGTGTCCATCGGTACCCGCTAGAAATTTACGGCAGAGCTTTAGAAATAAAACTGATTCTCTGACTTTAAAAAAAAAAAAAAAAAGAGTTTATGGAAAAATGGAATTAAAGTTCGAGTTTATTTTGGTGTCTACCCCCCCAAATAAATGAAGGCCAGCAGGTGGCGTGGAGGTGAAGGCAGATGGCTCTCACATGGCTGACTGCGCAGTTCGAGTCCTGGGCTTGGTGGCGTGAGCATCACGCCGGGCGCGTGTCGTGTGTGCGTGCCCAAAATCCCAGGAGGAGAATGGAAGAGAAGGGATTGTGGTGTGGCCATCTCCCTAGGGGGTGATTTCTCAGTTTCCCTCTCTCTGAAAAGCGCACACACTCTAACCAAAAATAAATAAATAAATAAATAAAATAAAAAAATAAAAAAGAAAGAAAAGAGATCCAGGAACTTTTTTTTTTTTTTTTTAAAGTTTTGCCAGTGGGCATGTATGTTTTTGCCAGAGACAGAGGGGAGAGGAGGAAAGAGCCCCCAGGGGCACCGCACAATCCCTCCCCGTTTCTGCACCCACGCCCGGTGTACTTCTCAGACAGTGTGTCTCGGACTCGAACCACAGTATCAGGGATAGGGGATCAAGCCACCGTCACCACTACGCCATGGAGCAGGCCCTCCGTGACCTTTTTCTTTCTTTTTTTGGTAGAGTGCTCATGTGGTCACCAGAGAGAGACACAGAGAGAAATCACCCCCAAGGGGGAGAACTACAACGCAATCCTTTCTCCTCCATTCTCTCCTGAGGACTGCGGGCACACGCATGTGCCTGGCATGGGTTTTCAAACTGCCTCCTCCGAGCCTTGAACTGTGCAGTCAGCCGTGTAGGCTCCAGCACCGTTACCCACTACACTACCTGCTGGCCCCTCCATGAGCTCTATGAAGACCCGTGTAACCAAATTCCAAGTCACTCACATTCAGACCGTCCCCTCGCACTTCTCCAAGACACTCACTCTCTTTGACCGCACACGACCCTCCACGCAGGCACCTCTCCATCATGTGCCCAGCGCCCCCAGGATTCACTGTGGGCTCCCCCCCACCTCCCCTCCTCCTCTCCATCCTCCACCCAACCTCCCGGTGTGGCCAGCAGGACTCGTGCCTGCACGCCTCACACAGATAAACACATGCAAATGACCCTGAAGTCGGACTCGGTTAGGCTGTCAGCAGTGCGTGCTCACAGTGGAGACAGCGGTGGGCACGCGCACACGGAGACCCACGTTTCCACACACACCCTCGTGCGCAGACTTCCTAAGTCACGGAGCCCACCAGAAGCGGCCTGCGGGTTTGCACCTGCCCGCAAGCACATGGGTGTCCGCATGCACTGAGGACGTCCTGTGCATTTTGTACACAGGCTCTGTCGCTGCCAGTCTCCACGGATGCACGCAGCTCTGAATAGCTACACGCACACATGTGCGCATGCACATGCGGGACCTTCAGAAAGTCCGTGGAGAGGCTGGACAGCAGTGCAGTGGTAAGATGCAACACTCTGCCAGGGTGACATACGGCAGAAGGATCCAGGTTCACGTCTGAATCCCTCCCTGAGAACACACACACATGTGCGTGTGCCCACAATCCAGCGTTGGCTGAGGCTGGGGTAGATCAAGGCAAGGAGACCCTGTTGGGAGTACTGTCTCTGTCTCCAGCTCATGGAAGAAATACACAGATAAATTAAAAATCATTCATGGACCTAGTAGGTGGTATGGTGTTTAAGGTGCTGGACTCCCACTTGGCCAACTGCGGTTCGAGTCCTGGACCTGGCAGCTTACTTTCTCACTTTCCTTCTCTCTCCCTGGGCAAATAAAAAGATGATAATAAGAATAAATAAAATTAAATAATATATTTTTAAAAGTTCATGGAAAATGGAATTAACATATCAATTTAATTTGGTATAAAAAGTTAAAAATCTGGGGCCGGCAGGTGGTGTGTTGGTTAAGGTGCTGGACTCCCACATGGCCCACTGCAGTTCAAGTCCTGGACCTGGAGGCTTGAAAATCATGCTGGGCACATGTGCATGCATGCCCAAAATCCCAGGAGGAGAATGGAGAAGGGATTGCAGCGTGGCCACCCCCCAGGGGGTGGTTTCTCACTTTCCCTTTTACTGTCTCTCGCCAGCGAAAACCTATGGCAAAAACCTTTTTTAAAAAGTCAAAATCCATATGTAGTTTTCTTCTTTTTTTAAAAAATTATTTCATTTAATTTTACGTATGTATGTATGTATTTAAATTTGACTATAGAGAGGGACAGAGTGAGAGAAAGAGATGGAAAGTGAGAAGACAAGTCGCCAGGTCCAGGACTCGAGCCGTGGTTGGCCATGTGGGAGTCCAGTGCCCTTAACCACGCCACCTGCTGGCCCCCACGTGTAGTTTTTTCAATAATGCATTTTCTACGACCCTGCTAAAGACCCCTGGTAGCTGTATGTGTGTAGGTGTTTGTGGACAGACACCAATCTGTACATGCGTGTGTATGCACGTTACAACACACTCGGTCTCACTCCCCACATGCAGGCCGCAGGCAGGGTCAGCCACACAAGCTCGTCAAGGGCTGTCCGGACAACCACCACCGTCACGCACGCAGCTTGCTGACGGAACCACCTTCCACCACGTCACACACGATCTCAGACACGGGTGAGCTGAGTGTTCCAGTCACGCGCACCGCCCCGGAGCCAGGCTGGCAGCTGCCACACACA